CCTAAAAGGTAGTTTGCATATTTAAAAAATTGGTTTAAACTAAGTAAAACTTTTATTTTCTTAAAGTCGTAACTTTGGAATCATCTGAGAATTCTGAGAACTTGGTTCTACAGCTTGATCTCTGTGAGGGAACAAGGAAGAAGGCTCACTTCTGTGTGCCCAGAAATTCTAGCATGGACAACTGAATACTTCCCATCACTCAAAGAATATCTACCTCTTGCATTCCTCGACCACAATTTCACAAAGTAGACATTATTTAAATCAAGGCTACTTCAAATTTAAATAAATAAGACAAGAGGGGGAAAAGTGTACCTGCGAATTAAAAACAGAGAGAGAAAAAAAATACATTTATAGAAGCAGAAGAGATACTTGGAGGAAATAGATGAATGTTGTTGTTTTTTAAAATTTTTTTGAAGTTGTTGTTTTAATGGAGAAATTGTGTAAGGAATACTTAGGGAAAAGCTCTGATTATAGATTACCATTACTATCCAGCTTCACCAGCTAGTAACAGAAACTGAAAGGGTCTTGTCAACGGCTTGAAGAAAATTAAAAGATCGCCTCACCACTCTAGCACTATGCATTGAAGAGGTCAAAAGTCATTCTGAAGGTCTGGGTGAGAGGAGAGATTTCTTTCTTTCTTTTGGAGAACTCTTACCCTTAATTTACACCAGTTGGACTAGTTTCTGAAAAATAGGAATTGTATAGAACAGCATATGCTGTATCTTGTCATGTAGAGTAGCCTCCCCTTATCTGTGGTTTCAGTTACTTGTGGTCACCCAAGGTCTGAAAATATTAACTGGCAAGTGATCCCTTGAAACAAGTGACCACATACACATAACTTATTACAGTATACTGCTCTATTCTATTACTAGTTATTATTGTTTTTCTCTTACTGTGCCTAATCTATAAATTAAACTTTACCATAGGTACATATATAAAGGAAAAAACATAGTACACATAGGGTTTGGTACTACCTGTGGTTTTAGGTATCCACTGGGGTCTTGGAATGTATTCCCACGACTAAGGGGAAACTATTCACTGGGCATTTATGTTCTTTTATTAAATTGCTTTTGTCCACTTAGCTTGTGCTATGATTTGACCAGTAAGGAGTCTTGATTTTCAACACTTCCATATGCTGGTCCTCCTGCCTGGGAAGCCGTCTCAGTCCTCCAAGCCTCAGCTGGTGTAGCATCAAGCCTCGTTGAGCACTACTGACCTGGCCTTTTCTTTCAAAGCTCTCCTGATACCCCTCCTGCAGCTGACTAGAAGCTATTTAAAGGCAGAAGGACTCTGTTGCATCTCCTGTGCCAAACATGTGGCAGACATTCAGTAAATGTATGTTAAAGGAGGGGAGAGAGCTTTATGTAGCCTTGGACAAGAGGACAAGTACAATAAATAACGCTCAATCAGTCTCTTCACTCCAGGGCCTGTCTTCTTGCAGACTTCATGATTTGTAATCACTAATTGATCAAATGCTTGTCCCTAAAGCTGACAGTTATATATAAGAATGGTTTAAGCTCTGGCCGGTTTGGCTCAGCGGTTGGAGCGTAGGCCTGTGGACCAGAGAGTTCCGAGTTCAGTTCCCACTAGGGGCACGTACCAAAAATAAAAAAGAATGGTTTAAGAATGTCTTTTACATTAGGAGCCCTGTGTCACAGCCAAGAGTAGGCCAAGTATTCTGATAGTTACACATGGGTAACTGGGAGACGCCCACAACTAGGCAGCACTGGATTTTCCACTGAGCAAAGCAAAAGTCAGACAATGACAGCTAGTGTTCAATTGTTTACAGCTGAACAACTATTTCCTCTCTTAAGCAAGCAAATAAACTCAAGACAAAGAATAGTCCCTTAATCATATTTCAAATGAGGACAAATTTTAAGGTCACAGTGCCCAGATAAAGGCAAATGAATCATAGCATATGCAGTCAGCAGCACTTATAACCCCAGCACAAAGTTCCCTTCCTTTACACAAGTGCAAAACTTTAATTTTTTTATTAAAAAAACTTTTTTTTTCTTTATTGATTTTAGAGAGAGAGAGAGAGATAGAAACATCGAAGAGAGAGAACATCGATTGGCCACCTCCTGCATGCCCCCTACTGGGGATCAGGCCCACAACCTGGGCATGTGCCCTGACTGGGAATCGAACTGGTGACCTCTTGGTGCATGGGTCGACGCTCAACCACTGAGCCACACGGGCCAGGCTCAAGTGCAAAACTTAAGGTAACTGTGGATGGCTCACAGAACCTCCTAAAAATAAGTTCATGAGGAATATTTATCTCTATTTCAGACAAGTAACAAGTAACATGGACTAAGTTGTGTGGGTTTGTCCAGAAAATAACATAGAGTAAGCCTTTTTCCTGAATTGTAAGGCAGATTTTATTCCTTTTGACTCCCTCCCCCCAGAAATCAATGTTACTTTTACGCTTACATTAAAGGGAGGGGAAAAGCAAAAACTCTCAAAAGATAACATATAACTCTTACTTGATCACTTTTCATCAATACTACAAGTAGGCCTTCAATTTACTTACTTTTTAGGCATTTTCTTTTTTTTTTTTCATCCTCACCTGAGGATATCTTTCCATTTTTTGTACAGAAAGAGTGGGAGGGAGAGAGAGGAAGAGAGAGACAGAGTGAAACATCGATGTGAAAGGGACACATCGAGTGGCTGCCACCCGCGCGACCAACCAGGGCCGGGGACAAACTACAACCGAGGTACATGCCCTTAGCGGGAACTGAACCCGGGTCTCTCCAGACCGCAGGCCAACGCTCTAACCGCTGAGCCAAATCGGCCAGGGCTAGGTATTTTCTTTTTTAAAATTTTGTATTGGTTTCAAAGAAAGGAGGGGAGGAGGAGGCGAAGGGGGAGGAGGATTTTACAAAGTGAAATTTGTGGGCTTTATAAAGATCAAGTTTGAGTGAGATATACAATATATTTTTATTTTATTTTTTTTAAGAATTTTTTTCCCTTTATTGATTTTGGAGAGAGAGAAAGAGAAACATCGATGAGACAGAACATCGATTGGCCGCCTCCTGCATGCTCCCCACTGGGGATCAGGCCCACAACCTGGGCATGTGCCCTGACTAGGAATCGAACCAGAGACCTCTTGGGTCGATGCTCAACTACTGAGGCGCACTGGCCGGACCCTGCCGGACTATACAGTACATTTTAAAACATCCAACAGTGTTTCTAATGTATCTCTCTTCAATTTAGCTCCTCCTTCCAACGGCCACTGCTTTAGGTCACCTTTCTATAACTTCTCACCTGGATTTCTGTAACCCTCTCAAAATCTTCTTGCCTAGAAGCTATGAGAGACAGCGTTCTAAGATATCTCGTGAACATGCCATTCCCCTGCTTAAAAACTCTTGAAAGACCCCTCACAATTTTAGAACAAAGCTTAGATACCCTAGTTTGGCTCCAGGTCTTTTCATCACCAGCTCTTGCCTACCTCTAGTGTCATCTCTCCTCAAACCCTATGCCCAACATCTGTTCCTCTAGTCACTGCTGATCTTTTGTACACACTGTGTTCCTCTGCATGTCTTCATCTAGTAACTCCCACTATGCCTTCAAAAAGCCTACTCAAACCTGACCTTCTCCTTCACACTGCTCCACACTCACTGAGCCACAGGTGATAAACCGTATCACCTAACTAAGCCACTCCAGGATGCCTGACCCACAGAAACTGTGAGATAAGAAGTGTTTGAATTTGTGGACGAAAACAAAGTAATAAATAATAAATTCCTATCTGGGCAGGTCAAGGTGGGTAATCACACCCCAGGCCTATAATTTCTTTAGTGAAAGGTTTTTAAGCAAGCTCTGTCCATTGCTTTTGTGCATGTAAGTTAATGCACCTTTGAAATGCCTCCTTTCAGACGCCCTCCTTCAAAATTGTGAACAACCTCAAGAGAGCACACAATCTTAACTATCTTGCAATCAGATCACCACCTTGCTTTCTCCCACCTCCATGAACTCCTTCTTCTTTTTTTAATCACCCGACCATATTTTTCCATTTATTTTTAGATAAAGCAGGAGAGAAGGGGAGAGAGAGAGAAACATCGATGTGAAAGAAACACATCAACTGGTTGCCTCCTGCAACCGAGGTACATACCCTTGACTGGAGTCAAACCTACCACTCTTTGGTCTGCGGGCCAACACTCCGTAACTGCTAAGCCAAACTGGCCAGGGCCGGTTACACTAGTTTTAATAGATTCTTGACACTTGAAGCCAAAAGCATTCCAATTAATGCAACAAGGACCCAGAAAACTGGTAAAATGCCCTAATAAATGTCCACTTGATACCAGGGTCTTTTCCTTTATTTCATCCTTCCCTATTCTTTTGCAGGATCTGTATTTTGCTTATCTTATCTGTATCCTCCTGTAGAACTGAAGTTCCTTGAGGACAGGAATTTTTTGTGTTGTTGTGTGCTATATGCTCAGCACCTAGAACTATGACTGGCACTCAGCATTTGCTGAATTAATCTAAGCTGCCATACAATGCTCAGGGAAATTGCATTAAAAAAAAAACGATACAATCTGGAGGTGGCATTAGAAAGACATTAGCAGCCAGTACTTGGAGATGAGCACAAAACACAAGCTCCTCAGCTGAAATCACAGGGTTTCTTAAAGAACAGCAAGTAACTGCAATTCTTACCCTGATAACTTATCATTCCGTTCAAAGGCGAACTCTCCCCTTGTTCGCTCCCATTAGTTCATGGAGGAGCTGGGAAGTCTTTCACAGGCCGATAGTGTTTTTTCCTTTTAAACTCTGCCTTGCTTTTGTTTAGTAAGACAGGATATATGAGTGTCTTCCCTACAGATGAGTCAATATCAGCTGAGCTTTGGGTTACTTTGCCAGTTTGTTTAGCAACGTCCGGACAAGAGGACAGGACTATCTGACTCTTGTGAGAGACTTCTCATGCACATTGTTTTAGTATTACGTTTTTAATTAATTTCAAGCAAGCTAGGCAGCACCCTCAAGAGCATAAGTAGCAATGGCTAGCTTACCTACTGTGCAGGCAACACGGGGTGTGAAGTCTCCTACTGGGACTTAAATCCTGTCTTTGGGGGAACCGGGCTCAACCTCAACGCAACTTAAATGGAGACTGCGGAAACCGGATCTGTTGATCCTCCGGTGCTGGAAGAGCCAGTGGAACTGGCTGTCCCCACAGTTTCTGCTGCAGCCTTTCCACCCACACGACTACACCGACTCGCGTGGACTCGAATACCAAGAGGAGGTGGGCGCCAGCACGGGCGGGGTCCCGCGGGACTGGGGTCGCCGAAGCGGAGAAACCGTGTATAGAGTGAAGAGCTGGGATCCCATGGAGCGCACGCGCGAGGAGGACGAGGCCGCCTTCACTCACCTGCCGCCGCGCCCTCTCGCACCTCCCGCACCGCCTCCGCACTCCTCAGCCTCGCCCCCGAGCGTCACTTCCGGTCGGCCTGGGGCGGGGCGGATGCGCGCCGCAGCAGGCTCGCTTCTCTTCTGGCCTCGATTGCTAAGCAACGCGGGTTTAGGCCACGCCCACCCCGGACGTGGCTCTGAGCTTGACCCAGTCTGGAGCGCTGGCTGGCGGATGCTGGCGCACGCCCGGCCGCGGGGCTAGTCCGGAGACGCGGGTGAAGCGGACGCGCTCGTGGGGGTCCAGCGCCGCGTGAGCTTGCGGTCGCCGCCACCCAGAACTGGCCTTGTCAGTCTGATGAGTTTGAAGTAGATCAGCTTGTTGTCTTTATTCTGTTTCCACGATTAACACATCTTTCCACCTGTTCATTTGTTAAGACATTTTCTCTTCTCTGGTCCAATTTTATATTGAATGGTTTTTTTTCTTACTGTTTCTTAGCGCTCTTTTTTGGATATTAAATTTTTGTGAATGATTTGTATTGTAAAAGTATCTCTGTTTGCGTCTTGTCGTTTCACTTTGTGGAGCCTTTTTGATGTACAGAAGTTTTTATTTTAACATAGAAGAATTTTGAGAGAGGAAGGGAGAGGGAGAGATAGAAACATCCATAAGAGAGAACATCAATTGGCCGCCCCCTGCATGCCCCCTACTGGGGATCCGGCCCACAACTTGGGCAAGTGCCCTGACCAGGTACTGAACTGGTGACCTCTAGGTGAGTGGGTCGACACTCTGACGTTCAACTACTGAGCCACACAGGCCTAGCAGAAAAATGTATCTCTTATGCTTAGCATTTTTTGTGTCTTGTTTAAGGAATCGTACCCTACCCCAAGTTACTCTTCCACATTTTTTATCATGGTTTTAAAGTTTTGATTTTAACATTGAAGTCTTCAATTCAGTTTGGAATAGATTTTGCTTAGTGTGAGGTAAGGAGGTATTTCATTTTCTTTTCCATTTGGATAACCAGAAGTCTTAGTGTCATTTACTTTAATTTTCTTTCTGAATCACATCCTTTATAAATTCCTTTAGTGCAGGTCTCTTGATGTTTTAACTTGGATCCCCAAAAAGCAGAGCTTGACAGAGCGGCTTTTGTGCTGCTACTCTATTAAAGGGTTTCAGTCACAGGGAAATAGGAAAGGGGACTAAGGAGTGAGGAGGAAGGAAGGGAGCACAAACGAGGGTAAGTTAATGAACAGGCCATTATTTGGTATTAGGCCTTTTAGATTACTTGCTTTCCTAAATTGGCCTCCAGAGAAGATAATGGAATACTACTGTGTATCAGGGTACCCAGTAGGGACTGGGAGTGTGTATGGGAAGAGACACAAATTTGTCCACCTGACTGCATCTCCATTTGGTCCAAATTTAAATTTTGCCCCATAGAATACTCCTTTGTGTTTCTGGGTGGCACATGTGTGTTCATGTCAGGCCTCAGTGACAACCAGGAAGCCCCTGGGTGGGGCAAGGCAAATTCTACAAAGCAGTCAATGAGAGCAATGATGAGATGTCAGTACTGCTTCCCACCCTTAATTCCAAAGCCTGTGTATTTTAGCTATTGGGGACTTCCCTCAGTAGTCTTCAAAAATGGCTATTGGAAATTTTTCATATCTTTGTACACACAAGCTGTTCCTGACATCAAAAGGTAGCATTTGTTTCCCCACCCCTAGAATCTGCATTGGCTTTTTGACTTGCTTTGACAGATAATGGTAAGAGTAAAGTTCTGGGGTTTGAGCCTAGGCCTTAAAAGGACTGACAGTTTCCACTCCCTCCCTGGGGGGCAGCCAGATGCCATAGTAGGAAGCAGTCTGGGCTTGACTGCTGAATGACAGAGAAAGGGGCCACATGGAGCACCAGAGAGGGGCCAGGCATGTCAGTGAAGCCTCTTGGACCTTCTGTTTCATACAAAGAATTTTGTGAACCCAGTCAACACCACCCAGAGCTGAAGAGCATAGGCCCAGCTAAGCCCTGGCTGAATTCCACAGAATCATAAGAAATAATAAACCACCTTTGTTTCACACTATTGAGTTTCTAAGTGGCTTGCTACATAGAAATAAATATTTGACCTCTTTACCATGAAATGGATCTCTTGATATGAGGCAGTGTTATGCAGGATTCCATGTCAGTAACTCAAAATTTGGCAAGCCTTTGGATGTGTGGGCTGGTGTAGAGGCGCTGTAGTCAGGAAAAGCCAATATACATCTGGATATGTTGACAGTTCCAAAAGGATGAATCACTGTCCCCCTAGAGTAGAAAGAACCCAATGTAACCAATCCACCTTCAAGTAGTGGGCTGCTCTACTCAAAGGAGAGTACCATATCAAGAGTTCATTGTTGCCCTGGCCAGTTTGGCTCAGCAGTTGGAGCGTTGGCCTGCGGACCAGAGTCCCAGGTTTGGTTCCTGCTAGGGGCACGTGCCAAAAAAAAAAGAGTTCATTGTCAACCCTGGTCCGTGTGGCTCACAGTTGATTGGGTGTCATCCTGTGCACCAAGAGGTTGCAGTCTTCGTCTCCAGTAGGGATCCTGCAGGAGGCAGCCGGTCAATGTTACCCTCTCACATAGATGTTTTTCTCTTCTCCCTTTCTCTCTAAAAAAATCAATAAACTATTCTTTAAAAAAAAAAAGTTCATTGTCAGTCTCATGACAATGGCTGGCACTAGAAGAGCCTTGGTGGATGGCAGATTATGAGCTCACAGTGCAATCACAAAGCAGTAATCACGAACCTAACATTAATTCCAGGCTTGACTTAACATTCACAAATCATATGACAGGCACCACTAGAATCCCCATTTCCCACATGTAAAAAAACTGAGTCTGAGAGTAGCTAAATATGTTCAGGATTTCATGGCATTGACCACAAACAAAAAGTCAGCCAGGAATTCCTTCAGCAAAAAGAATTTATTCAGGAAAGAAGAAAGGATTGCAATTCCATTTGTGCAGCCATAGCAAACTGGGTAAGCAAAGGAGAGGAAGTTCTACAGAGGGGAAGAGAAAGTTGGGGAATGAGGGCTATTAAAACCATAGAGTGTTTCCTGTGGGGCTGTCACAAGTGACATAGGGTATGGAAATGCCTACATGAATTGTTTTGTTGTTGTTGTTAATCCTCACCTGAGAATATTTTTTTCATTGATTTTTTTTTTTTTTTAATCCTCACCCGAGGACATTTTTTGATATTTTGTTCAGATAGAGTGGGAGGGAAAGAGAGAGAGAGAAACATCGACGTGAAAGGGACACATCGAGTAGTTGCCACCCGCACAACCCAACCAGGGCTGGGGACAAACTGCAACTGAGGTACGTGCCCTTAGCAGGAACCGAACCTGGGTCTCTCGGGACCACAGGCCGACGCTCTAACCGCTGAGCCAAACCGGCCAGGGCTTTTTCATTGATTTTTAGAGACAGAAAGGGAGAGGGAGAAAGGAAAACATCAATATGGGGGCACATCATCACTGCTTCCTGCACACCCCCTGCAACCCTGGCATGTGTCCAGACCGAGAATTAAACCAGCAACCTTTTGGTGCATGGGACTACACCCAATCAACTGAGCCACATCAGCCAGGGCGGGACCATGGTTTTAAAATATAAATTTGGCTGGGATCTCTGTAGGAGGGAAATATTTAGATACCCGAGAACAAGGGCCCAAACAGGCTAAGCAATTCACACAGCTTAAAAAGCTTGGGCAGCCTACAGGCTTAACAGCAGCCAGTTCCATTTAGAATGATCCAGCCCTGGCCAGGCAGTTCAGTTGGTTAGAGCATCCTCCTGATATATCAAGATTTCGGGTTTGATTCCATGGTCAGGACACATACAAGAATCAACCAATGAATGCATAAATAAGTGGAACAACAAATCGATGTTTCTCTCTCTTTTCCACTCTCTCTAAAAATCAATAAATTAAAAAAACAGTCTGATCCAAAGAGGTCAGGGCCTAAGGTTGAAGCAGTAGATTCAGAGATGCAACTTGAGGGCATCAGGCCACAGACTGAGAAACAAGGTAGTTCTATTAGAACAGGCCTGTTTGGGAAAGAGGCTAAACGAAGCAATTTCCACTAAACAGAGTTAGGCAGACAGCCAGCACAAACAACTTGATTCTTTTTAAAAAATATTTTTGTTTATTGATTTGAGAGAGAGAGGAAGGGAGAGGGAGAGAGATAGAAACATCAATTAGAGAGAATATTGATTGGCCGCCTCCTGCATGCCTCCACTGGGGATTTGGCCCACAACCTGGGCATGTGCCCTGACTGGGAATCAAACCAGCAACCTCTTGGTGCATGGGTGGAAGCTCAACCACTGAGCCACACCAGCCGGGCACGACTTGATTCTTGTAGACTACCACAGTCCCAAGAAACTGACTGAACCCCTAGGGAATCAGGCCAAAGTGTGGAAGGAGAGCTCACAAACAAGGCCTTTTTATATAAAAAGAAAAGAAAAAAAAACACCTTTAAACAATTTCCGAATAAAACCCAGAGGGCTTTAAAATGCAAGGTAAAATGCAAGGTGGACTCAGGAGAAAACTTACCCTTAAGCTTCTGAGAAGGGGAGAAAAACAGGGAATTCCAATGGCTGGCTCTGTGGGCGCCACACTTGTTTGCTCACCAGCCAAGAACTTACCGGGGTCTTCTTTGTACCCTAGATGAGCCCTCAAATGTGTTGACCACAAAGTCAGCCAGGTATTCTTTCAGCAAAAAAAGATTTATTCGGTAATAAAGACAGGTTTGCAATACAGCTCTTGCCACCATAGTGAATCCGGTGCAAGTTTGGGGGTAAGCAATAGAGAGGGTCTTTTATAGTGGGGAAAAGGCAGTGTAAGTGGGAGGGCTGTTAAAACCACAGAACTCTTCTTCTTGTAGGGCTTTCCACCACCACATAGGGCGTTAGAGCTCCCCCTACAGGACTTCCTGATTCCTGCCCACGTTAAAGACTGTCATTAATTTTGAAATTGGCTAGCAAAAAACCACAGGATTTATTTTGTTGTTTTAGTTTGTCTATATTTCTTTGGTTTTATTGCAGGTTAGCCTCTGTAGAGTATATAGGTCTTGGGGCTCCAGAGTTAAATCAGAGTAGAGACGGGTTCCGCCCCTTGGACAACTTGCATGGACCACGCAGCCGCAGTCTCCTCCAGAGCCGAGTTCCACACTCACCCGCCCAGAAACTACATTTCCCAGTAGGCGAAACGCAGGCGCTGACGCATTTCCTCCCGGCTTCCCCGGCGAAGGGAAGAACCGAGTGGGCTCGAGGCGACGCGACCAGCATTCGTCGCCGCCGTCGCTGGTTTGAGAGGACTCGTCGCAGACGTCCCTGTCGTCCCCGCCGGCCACCATGTCTGCCCAGGCGCAGATGCGGGCTCTGCTGGACCAGCTCATGGGGACGGCCCGGGACGGTGAGTCGGGGCGGCCGGCCAGGCGAGGGGTGGGGCGGGAGTGAGGCGAGGCCGCCGGGCGGCCTGAAGCGGGTGCCGCGACTGTCTGCGCCTGCGCTCTCCCCTCCCCCACGCGCGGACGGCAAGCGTCAGGCCTTTGTCTGAGCGGGTTCGCCGGGCAGGCGATCGAGGCCGACTGTTCTCTCACTGGCGACTGATCTTCGGCGGGTTCCTCCCTCCGAGCCCTCTCAGTCGGTGGGGCCCCTTCCCCATTTGCGGTCCTGCCATTAACAACCCGGCCCGACGAGCGCCGCAGCTTCTTCAACCCGGGAGTCGGCCAGAGGCTGGAGTTACTATGGGCTCGGCTCCAGGTCGCCGGCAGCTTGGGAGAAGCGACACCCAAGGGAGCCGATGGGTCTCGAACCCCGGCCGTTCTTGTTCTGTACCATTGCAAGGAGAGCCGTAAATTGAGCTTTTCTTACGTGGGTTCCTGCCGAGTGTTTTTCCAAGACCCCTTCCCCAACCACACAGGAGAGGCTCTGTGTAGCCAGCGCTTGTCAGTCGTTAGGTAGGTTGTATTGTAGGGAGGAGTGCAAGATCATGGTGGTTGTCTCAGGGTTCGGTTACATCTTTGCAAAACTATATACCTGCTGTGGTTTGTGTTTTCTTTTCTACTGAAGTAATGAAGTTGTAAGTTCACACTGGCACATTTCTCAGGGCTGTGCAAATTCTTCGCACTATATTTCATAGGTGAATAAGTGCTTTTTAGCTTTCTTTGTATATTGAGTTGCTTTTGAATTGCTTCCCATATTTTTATTTCATACAAACTGAACAATTGTGGCCCCTCTATTTTATTTATAAAGGTTCAGTGTATCTTTGCCTGCCTACATCAATCTGCAAGGGAGTTGCAGAAAAGCCTCATGTTCATCGAGCCGTGAGTCACAACCAATTTCTAAGCTGTTATAACAAAAAAGTGTTTGCTTTTTTTCACAAGTATCTTTAAAAGTGTAGTTTAGAAAGAAAGCATTTTCAATAAAAAGACACTACATTAATCCTGGATGCTTGCAAATCCTAAAATTTATTCCTCCTTTAGTATTACACAACTCTGTGTCATATACACAGATTAGCTTTAAAATTTGTCACATTCCACTTTGCTTTTTCTTTTATGTATCATTCCCCTGACTTCCTTACTGCAGGTTGGGCAAGAAAACTTTTCCTTTAAAACTTTTCAACAGCGGGCATAAAATTCTGCAGCTGAGGTCTTGAAGAATGCAGATGGGTACAGTATATGTTGGAACTCACAGTGTGTATTGACTAACCTAGCTCCTTTCTGCCTTTTTTTTCTTAAATTTTTTTTTTTTTTTTTAAGTATTGTCTTGTTAACAGTGACTCCCAGGTGCCAACTCTCTTTTTTAAGGGTGGGGGTGAAAGGGGATAGGAAAACTAGGTCTAGATTACTTTTCAGCGGTAGAATTTGAAAGCTTTCCTTGTATTTTTGGGCAAAATACTGCCTACACATTTGTCCACAGCAAATAATTAGATTAATAAGTAGCTTTTGTTGGTGGAAACTGCCAGCTATAGGTCATATGTGGTGATTTCGTGGCCCTCAGAGTAGCATGGGTTTTGGTATCTCATTTCCCACATGTATATGTGGGGCTAATGGCCTTTTGGTGCTCAGCCTTTTACTTCTGATTCCTTGACTTCTTGGCACAATGATGGAGTCAGATCTCATTAAGTGTGATTCTTTATGATACATTTAGCATCAGAAAACATCTGTATTCTGCTCCAGTTGTAAATATCTCTAGATCAGCTTTTCAGTGTATTTGGTAGTCTGCAAATCATCCAAGCGACTTGTACCAGATATACTTTTGTGTTTAACGTGATATTGTCTTATTTAAAACCACAAATAAATTTCAGGAGATGAAACCAGACAGAGGGTGAAGTTTACAGATGACCGAGTCTGCAAGAGTCACCTTCTGGACTGCTGCCCCCATGACATCCTGGCTGGGACGGTAGGTGCATGAGGAGAAGGGGGGGGGGCATCACAGAACACTCAGACTGGGGTGTTGTGTAGGCAGTATAGGTTTTCCAAGTTGAGTTCTGTTTTTCTTTATTAGGTAGAAATCACCTTTATTGCCCCATCAAATGATAAGTTCTGTTAGTTTGGTGGGATTTTATATTGTGGAACATATTTTACTGTTGTAATTCTCTTTCTAAAGTTACCAGGCTTGCCCTGGCCGGTTTGGCTCAGCGGTTAGAGTGTTGGCCCACGGATCAGAGTCCTGGGTTCAGTTCCTGCTAGGGGCACGTACCTTGGTTGCAGTTTGTCCTTGGCCCCAGTTGGGGTCGTGTGGGTGGCGACCACTCAGTGTGTTTCTCCCACATCGGTGTTTCTCTCTTTCTCTTCCCCCTCTCTCCCTCCCGCTCTATTTGAAGATAAATGCAAAAATGTTCTCAGGTGAGAATAAAAAAAATAAAATTTTATTGGGGCTTAATAGGAAAATATAGTATTGGTTAGTAAGTTTGGAAGCGTAAAATAGCTGGGAAGGTATAACTTATCTCAGTGGAAGAACTTTGTTTTCCAAAGGTTCTGGAAGGAGCCGTTAGTATCTTTTCCTGTCAGCGGTGTGAGATCACTAGAGGGTGGAGAACACAGGTGTTTGTACAGTAAAAAAAGTCTGGCCCTGCCCTGGCCAGTTTGGCTCAGCGGTTAGAGCGTCGGCCTGCGGTCCGGAGAGACCCGGGTTCAGTTCCCGCTAAGGGCACGTACTTCGGTTGCAGTTTGTCCCCGGCCCTGGTTGGTTGTGCGGGTGGCAGCCACTCTATGTGTCCCTTCACATCGATGTTTCTCTCTCTCTCCCTTCCTCTCTCTCCCTCCCACTCTATCTGTACAAAAAATGGAAAAATGTCCTCGGGTGAGGATAAAAAAAAAAACAAAAAAAAAGTCTGGCCCTGGCTGGTTTGGCTCAGCGGTTAGAGTGATGGCCTGCAGTCTGGAGAGACCCGGGTTCGGTTCTCGCTAAGGGCACATACCTCGGTTGCAGTTTGTCCCTGGCCCTGATTGGGTCGTGTGGGTGGCGACCACTCGATGTGTCCCTTTCACATCGATGTTTCTCTCTCTCTCTCCCCCTCCCACTCTATCTGAACAAAATAGCAAAAAATGTCCTCGAGTGAGGATAAAAAAAAAAAAAAAGTCTGATATTCTTGATTTAACAGCCACTTGGAATATTTTGGAAGGACCTAGTGAGTGTGGTGTTTGAGCTCGGCTTGGTGTTTAGCTGCCAGGAGAATTGGCCAGTACTTCCCTGCCTTCTTGGAAAAGCTGAAAAGATACTTTTGGAGAGTAACCATGGCACCTGGGCCTATCCTCTGCTTGCTTTAGCTTGAAGGCTGTCACCCAAAGGAAGACAGTGGTGAATTTTCCTTCATTTGTGGTTCCCTAATATCAAAACTGTCTTGACATTTAGAAGTTTTTAGATTGGAAGTAGCACTTAAAATTTGTAGTACTTAAGGTTTTTTAAAAAAATATGTTTAGTATTGAGTTTTTTTAGAGAAGAAGGGAGAGAGAAACATCCATGTGTGAGAGAAACATCGATCGGCTGCCTCTTGCATGCCCCCCACTGGGTATTGGGCCCGCAACCTGGGCATATGCCCTGACTGGGAATCAAACCGGGACTTTTCAGTCCGTGGGACAATGCTTAATCCACTGAGCCACACTGGCTGGGCAGTAGTTATGGTTTTAATGCTTGCTTCTGGTGGTGGTAGTTTTTCTTTTTTTAAAAAATCCTCACCTGAGGATATTTTTCCATTTATTTTCAGACAGAGTGGGAGGGAGGGGTAGAGAGAGAAACACTGATTTGAGAGACACACCCATGACTCTGACCAGGGCCAGGGGACAAACCGCAACTGAGGTACGTGCCCTTGACTGGAATTGAACCTGCAGTTTTGTTTTTTTATTTTAATTCTCACCCGAGGATATTTTTCCATTGATTTTCAGATAGGGGAGGAAGAGGGGGAGAGGGGGAGAGAGAGAGAGAGAAGAAACATCAATGTGAGAGAGACATATCGATCAGTTGCCTCCCAAAGGATCCCAACCAGGGCCAGGAATCGAACTGCAACTGAAGTATGTGCCCTTGACCGGTATCAAACCTGTGACTTTTTGGTCTGCAGGCTGACGCTCTAACCGCTAAGCCAAACTGACCAAGCCTTTTTTTATATATATATTTTATTTTCTCTATTGATTTTAGAGAGAGGAAGGGGGAGGGAGAGAGAGCTAGAAACATCGATGAGAAAGAACATCGATTGGCCACCTCCTGCAGGTCCCCCCTGGGGATCGGGCGCACAACCTGGGCATGTGTTCTGACTGGGAATCAAACCAGCGACCTCTTGGTGCATGGGTCGACGCTCAACCAGTGAGCCACACCGTCCAGGCGGTGGTAGTTTTTTTTTGAGCAACAGAGACATTGTTAGCTTTTAAGCATTTCTGATAGCTGCCACTGATTTTTCAGCTATCGTACAGTTTCATTTGTGGAAACTATATATTTTAAAGAATCTTATTTGATATTTAAAAGAGTGAATGAAGCAAAAGTGAGCTTTTCAGGGACAGTGATTCTAGTTGCAACTTTGACTTCTAGAACCACTGTTGCCCTACCTCTAGATCCCCTATGCAACCAATATGCATGAGCTGCATATGACTTCAGAGTAAGAATTATGAAGAAGAAAAGAAGTTTTAGCATTTAAATGCAGTCAATCTTTGGTAAAAATGAAAATAAACTCCACACTAGGCAGCCCACTGTCGGTATTGGTGACACTGAAGGATATTTTGTTATTGAGCATGGCATACAACTTCTGTGAGTTAGAGCCCAAGAACTAGGCACTGTGAGTCTCTCTAATTTGCCTAGAAGAATTTTATAACCTATGAAGATTTTGATCTCATTTTGAACACAGTTTGAGCTTAAAGGAGTTCTTGGGCTCCATGATTTTTTTTTTTTTTACTAGTTGTGTAAACATGTACTTTTGTTCAGTAGCTTAGACTTAGACTTTAGAGGTGTCTCATTGGATGTTGGGTTTTGTTAACTTGCACTCTGTGACTTGATAGCATGATCCTCAGCATACAAACCTCCCTGTTGCTGTTTAGATGGTCAGAGGCGGTATGTGTGTCTGTACAGAATCTTGCACTCAGGATTTAGATAAGAACTATGCAGTGCTAATTGGCCTGTATGTGCTTACAACACATAATAGTACATCAGGCTAATCTTACTCTTACACAGATTATTTGTTTTAGTAAAAGAGCCTTTTATTTCTCAAATGGGGCAACTGCTCCAATTATATGTCCAGGGTCATTTACCAGGTTAGGAGAATGTTTGGAGGATTCATTTGACTCTGAATCAGTCTATTCTCCTTTATTCCGTTTGGTATACAAAGAGCTACTCAAAAGCCAAGTGTTAGGTTGTGCTTTAATTGCCAAAACCTGATTTCTATCTGCTCTTTCCTTGTCTCTGCAACTTGAGCATCTTAAGTAGTAAAGGTTGCAAGACGGAATGCCTAGAAACTTGTTGCTATCAAGACACATGTTTTCTGGCCTTTTCCTTGCCATTCCCCACCCTCAGTTCTGTTGTTCTCTGATATTCTGTGACTGATGCAGACATAAAATTGGTAAAGGTAATTAATGTGTTTTTCATTATTAGTCCAATTATCTCTGGGTATAAAAGAGATAAAAACCTTTACACTATTAAATGCATCAGTTCTGAGTATCATATAGTCAAGGTGATAAAAGGAAAATAAGACTTCTCAGCCATATTGTTTCTTAATTTTCTTATCATAGTTTAGTATTCAAAAAAGTATTGGTTATTTTGGTGACAGTTGAGACACTAGGTCATGTGCTTTCTAATGGGTATTTGTGTAAACTTTGGTTTGTTTCTTACAGCGCATGGATTTAGGAGAATGTACCAAAATCCACGACTTGGCCCTCCGAGCAGATTATGAGATCGCAAGTAAAGAAAGGGACCTGTTTTTTGAATTGGATGTAAGTTTTATTTGGTGTTAATTAGTCCCTATGGTGAAGAACCAAATATTGAATTAACAGGAATAATGCAACATATGTAAGTTATGAAGCAAACAAGATAGATACCTATTATTCCATCACTGTAGCTGAGGGCTGGAACATGGCTAGTACCATTTTGTGTCTGCTTGTGTGTCCCTAACACTATTCTACATTTTGTATATATCATTTCTGTTAAAAATATTTTTATTACATATTTTTGTGATTTCTTGGATATTACGTTTATCCTTGCTTGTTTTTGAGGCTTATAAAAATGGTTTCATAGTGTGGATAGTTGTTAATAACTTTATTTTTTTCCGTTCAATATTATGTTTCTATTTACCCATTTTGCTGGGTATGGTTTGTTTCCATTGCTGATTGAGTATTCCCCAAACTATTCATTCTTTATTCATAGACAGTTGGGATGATTCTAGGTATTTTTTGCTATTATGAAGAGTATAATGAATATTCTGGAATACCTTCTTGGTGTATGTGTACAAAGATTTATCTAGGATATATTCTATTATCTAGGCTGTATTCCTAGGAGAGGAATTGAAAGCTTGTGAAGGATGCACACGGTCATCCTTTCAAGATAATTCTGTAATGTTTTTTTCTTTTTCTCTCTTGTTTGTTAAAGTGACTGGATCAGTTTACACCCCTGAAGCAATATATACATCTTCACCAGTACTTGTTATTATCAGACTGCTAAATTCTTGAAATTTAGTGATTATAAAATGACATTTCACATCTTTTGTTTATTATTGCCTCCCAAAGGAGCCTTTTAAAAACCTTTTTCTAATTTGTCCTCCTCCTGGATATCTTGATGTCCATGATACCAAAGGTGCCCTACATATCAGTTTATGTATTGTGATTCTTTCCACACCACAGTCACTGTAATAACTAAGATTTTTTCCCCACCCCTTAGGACTAGTTTTACCTCTTCCCCTATTGAGAATGCATGATGTTAGAGTCATTTGTTTTAATTCTTTCTTTTCTCTAATCCTCCAACACTAGTATGACCAGAGGTCAGTGGAGGGGTTTGGTGCCATTAATTTTCCTGAGTTGAAGACTAGGAAGGAACCCAGAGAAAAAAAAACCCAAGGAAAGAATTTTTATACCAAAGGACATTTTATTTATTTTTTATATATATTTTTGTTAATCCTCACCCGAGGATATTTTTCCATTGATTTTTAGAGAGAGAGAGAAACATCGATATGAGAGAAACATGTCGATTGGTTGCCTCCTGCACAACCCCAACTGAGGCCTGGGATGGAACATGCAACCCAGGTATGTGTCTTTGATCAGGAATTGAACCCAAGATGCTCTGGTCCGCAGGCCGATGCTCAAACTGCTGAGCCAAATTGGCCAGGGCGACATTTTAGAGAATATATTGTTGCTGGGGTAAATCCTGTTTAAACCAGTAGTCTTAAAAAGTGATTAAAATTAAGAATTTCTTTTTCAGATACATTCTTTAATAACAGTGTGCTCTCATCATTGTATCTTTGAGTTAATTAAAAATGTCTTTAGCAACAACTCAACTAACACATGGGTCTTGGAAATGATAATTTTCTATATTATGAGTTTTAATTCTTCAATAACCTGAAAATGATTAAATAAAGAGACCATTACCTTGGGATATCAGGCTTCAGAAGCTCATAGGTATACAGATGTATAGGTTGAAATCTCAGTTTTAGTTATGTGATTTTTGGATTACAAACCTTAGCATTTTTACTAAATCAGGAGGTCAGGGCACTTTTTAAATGGCCTGATTAATTTAATGCCAGAGAATAGGTAAATAGAAGTAATTGAGACTACAGAAAGAGACTGAAATATATATAGTAGTTCAGTTTATTATGAAGGGTGTGTGTTCAGTCAAGAGTAGAGAAGCTTGGGTGTTAATGAACAGTGTTGGAAACTGTGCATTAGCCAGTTGGAAAAATAGCAAATTGAATTCCCAAAAAGTGAATTTTGTTTTTGTCATCTTCAGATGTTACAAAGCCTAGATAGAAGCTGTAAGAGAAAGGTAGATGTATTTGTCTATATGAAAAGTTAAGATATTATCATGTGAAGAATTTCCATACATAAAATAATAAATGAGCAAAATGTTTGTAGTATATATGATGATGGGCTAGTTTCCATTGTACAGTAAATCTTCACTTAATGTCGTTGGTTGGTTCTGTGACTTCAAGTGAAACGATATTAAAACAAACAATTTTACCATAGGCTAATAGTAGATATAAACAAGAGTAAAATAGCATCTCATGGATGTTGAATGATATATTATTTGAGGACCTGCTATACATAAAATTCATCATGATTAACAAGAATAGTATCAATATCTCAATAGAAAATGGTCAAAGGATATTTCCTAGCAGGCATTTAATCCTATGGCAGGTGCTTACCTTCACTCAGAACTAAAAAGATGGAGAGTTAAGTAATCCTGATACACTTCCTGGATATTTGAGCATCTCAAGGTGTGAAGACATGTTCCACCAGTGCCAGTGGTGAGAGTATGTCTGCTACACTTGCATATGTACAAAGATACATTTACTTCAGAATATTCTTAGAGCATTATAACTGCAGAAAGCAGGAACCAAGAAGATTACCTTGGTAAGGGACTGGCTAGATCATGGCTCTTTATGATGGAATGATGTATAGCTGTGAAAAGAGGATTGAGGTAGTCTAGTGTATGTTGATTTGAAATTACCTCTTAGGTAGGTTAATGGAAAAGCAAAATTTTGTTATGATGCGTTTTGTTATAGTGTTTTTCAAAAAAGGAGGGTGTTTTACACTTGTTGACATGTTTAGATATGCAGAGTAATTTTAGAGGAATCCAAGATATTATGAACACTCTTGTCTTGGTTTGAGAGCTAGAGCAGGTCAAAAGACCTTTTAGTGCTGTGTGAAAATCGACCACATTCGGGAACTGCTTTTTCTTTTAACAAGGTACCTACCCCTCCCCCCATCTCCTTAAAAATAACTGACTTTTTAGAAAGCTTATATTGAAATGTTTGATAACCTGTGCTGTGAACACTTGGAAGAGGTCCTCCTGACCTGGAGCAGCCGTGTTGTAGAAGGGCAGTCTGTCAGGAACTGTCAGCATGTCCAGTGCACATATATTGTATGCTCCTCCCAGAACTCCACAACTGGGAAGGTATCTTAGAGATTTGTGCAAATGAGTAAGTAGAAAAAATGGTTGTTGCAACTTTTTTTCAATAGGAAGAAAAGCTATAGTGAAACTATTAATGGGGGACTGGTTATACAAGCTATGGTCCTGTCCTGATGGTTTATGAAGCTTTAAGCAGTATGATACCTCTGGGTGTCAGGGAAGGAGAGTTAACCTTAAATTTTTTTTTTTTTTACAATAATGGCATTAGATATAATTCACATGCCATAGAATTATCCTACCTTTAAAATTTTTAATTTATACATATAGGTAGTGTTTGGATATGTCTGGCTACTTTAATAATAAAAGTGGCCTGACTTTAAAATAGCAAGGTATAGTCCGGCCGGTGTGGCTCAATGGTTGAGCGTCGACCCATGCACCAAGAAGTCTCTAGTTGGATTCCCGGTCAGGACACATGCTCAGGCTGTGGGCCTGATCCCCAGTGTGGGGCATGCAGGAGGCGGCCATTCGATGTTCTCTCTCATTGATGTTTCTATCTCCCTCTCCCTCTCACTTCCTCTCTCCCTCAAATCAATAAAGAAAAAAAAAATACCAAGGTATATTAACTTATTTCCTTAGTTTTGCATAATAAACTTAGAAAAAAAATAAAGTTTTTTATCAAAATATAGATTTGTTAAATTAATTTGATGAAAATTATTTTTGGTAATAGTATGTAGTCATTGTTACAGATTACAGAGCCCTAGAAGGCTCTGAATCTTCACATGAGAAGCTTCCCCTTTTCATGTGACTGGCCATCCAGTGCCTATCTATTGAGGTCACTTTTACCTTACAAAGAATGTCCATTCAGAATGAACAATTTATCAGAGAGGCTAGTTGTGATTTTTTAAGCAGAACACATGAGGAGCTTTTTGGCCAGATGTGGTCAGTGGATCCACTATTGCTTACCTGCTGCTGACTCCTGGTAAATTGTTGCCACTTGGCTCCCAGCCTACCATGTAGTCCATGTATTGTCAAAGTACCAGGCTTGGGACAAATAGCTTCCAAGTGTCCTATTTTGTTTGTTTGTTTGTTAGTTCATCCTTACCCGAGGATATTTTTCCCATTGAAATTTTAGAGAGAGTGGGAGGGAGGGAAGGTGGGGGAAGAGAAACATTGATGTGAGAGAGACACATCAACTGGTTGCCTCCCGAACATTCCCAGACCAGGGCGGGAAATGAAGCCCTCGACCCTTTGGTCCTCTGGCTGACACTCTAACCACTGAGCAAAACCAGCCAAGACCCAGGTGTCCATATTGAGGTTGGTTTCTGGAAGGGCTACAGTGTTATCACTATTGGCAGATAGACACATTTCATTTTCACAAGTTGTGAACCATCACTGAGCCATGAATTGTTCTGATTTTTCTTAAATTATCTTTGTGTAGCTCACCAAATGTTTTGGTAGAATCTCTTTATTGTTGGCAATAATTCTGTGAGGTGGGTGAAACATTTATCTCCAAAGTCTCTGAAAGTGCTGTAAGTTTAATGTTTGCCAGAATTCATTGAAGCAGCATGATGTGATGCTGGGTGGGAGAAGAATCAGATTCTGTTCAGTAGATCAATCAGGGATGTTTAGGAGGTTTTTTTTAATCCAGGTTATATTGCAGAGACAGCTGACAAAAAGTATAACATTTATTTATTTATTTTTTTCCAAGATGTTTTTAATTGATTTTTTTAGAGAGAGAAGTAGGGAGAGGCAGAGAGGGAGAAAGAGAAACATCTATGTGAGAAAGAAATATCAATCGGCTGCTTCCTGCACCCCTCTATTGGGGATTGAACCCGCTATCTGGGCATGTGCCCTGAACTGGGAATCGAACTGGGAC